ACTTTACCTCCGTGAAGAAAAGTGACCAAAGCCGAGTGCAGGTTTAACATTTTAATTGCCCATATATCCTCACTAGACTGCACCTCAACCTTAACTATATCATGAGTCGCTAATTCTGAAAGTAGGAAAATCACAGAATTTAAGCATACTTATCATTCAAAACAATAACTTAACTGTTTTAAAATGTTCATTAATTTAATAAATCCAGGGCTTTTGATTTGGCCAAAAAAATATATTCGCTTAAACTTTTAAAGACATTTGAAAATTCCCTCTTTCAAAGCAATGTTCTACAGTAAATCTACATGCTACTCTGCACTTGCAGATAATTTTAAAGAGATAATTGGCTAGATGCTGTAATTAATCCTACATGTACTATCAACCAGTGGCTTCTCTTGAAGGAAATGAAATAGTAACATACGCACAACAAACTTATGAATCAGATTGTAAATTTTTTTGTAAAACATCTTTCTCTATTTTTTACTAGATTTCCAAATCGTATCGCCAGATTTATCACTGTTTCGTCAGTTTTTATAACTGCTGGGTTTGAGATCTTTCTATTTTTGATACGGTGTTACCTCTTGCCAGGTGAAGGTCAGTTCCAGCCGTCATTACGGGATTCTCCTCAGCTATGGTGGGTATTGTAAATGTGTAATACAGCTGCTGCTCACACCAACTCTGTCGTGTAAAATCTGTCACCCATAAATACCCGGGCCGGAACTTCTCTAAAGGAGACATATTTGTATCATTGGTAAAGTCTGGTTTGCTGTCTATAATTTTACTTATAACTGAAGTCGGTGCTTTTTCCTCGTTTCCCTTGTCACCTGACGTCATAGGACTGGGTCCTTTCTCGCCTGATATTCCAGAATGGCCGACTGCACTGACATTTTCTGTTTAATAATAAAACAAGCACATTATCTCTCGAGGTTTGTGATAGTAAGTGTTTTTAACCCCATTGATATATAACTCAATTTAATGAGTAACTTAATTCTAGAAATCTATCCATACTTTAAGGAACTACTAGTATGACCCTTCTGCTCTAAATTTTACAAAAAATTTCCCTATACTGATTTTCATCAAGAGCTCCAGAACAAGAATTTGATTGATTGATTGATTGTGTGTTGTTTTGCGTCCCTCTCGAGATTTTTCACTCATATGGAGACGTCACCACTAGCCGGTGCAAATTTTGGCTTCTACTTGGCACTTTTATACATGGCAATTGAACAGGCAGGGATCTTTTTCGAGTCAGCACCTACTGCGACACGGGACCTCGGTTTATACGGTCTCATCCGTAGGACCGGTCTCCACGTCCCACTGTGGAATTCGAACCCGCGAAGTAAGGATCAACTCCTTACTTCGTGACTCTAGAACAAACGCTCTAACCACTGCGGCTTTTAAATTTGATTCAAATGAAAAACAATATGAGAGGTATGAAGCGTTCTTTTTTAATGTCTGACCATGATACCAGGAAATTTTATCAATGAGAATAGGAATTTTTTTATCGCAACAGAAAATACGTTATGTTTTTTTTTCTCTCTCATCAGAGGGTCAGTTCCCTTTCACTGGCCCTGGCTCTGGACTAATGTACCTGTAATATAAAACAAAGGAGCTTACCAGTAGTACTTTTGGTTGTCGGAGAATCATCCCATTCAGAGAACATCTCTGTCAAAACGCTTTCTTCAAAGATGAAAGTCTCCTGTGATGGAGAGCCCATTTCTCTTTTTCTGCTTTATTTCAAATACATGGACTTATAGTTTTTACAATATATTCCTGTAATGAAAAGAGAATTCGATGTCATATTTTTTTCAGTACCTAATATAAGGATGCATATTACATAAACTTAAACCAAAATTGATGCTGGATAATTTATTATTTTTTTTCCTATATATTTCATTGAAAACAACATTTCGTAAAATCACTTGAAACGGTGACATTTCCTGACAGATTTTACCACAAATTTCTTGATAAAGAAATTCGATGTTATATTTGATAAAAACAATATTTTTTTTTACTAAAAAAAAAAAATTGTAATTCAAGTACGACATGAAAAATGAATTCATATACACAATATGAATTATACGTTTGAATTTTAGAACTGAAGTGAACTTGTGATGAAATTTACGAAATATAACTGTAGAAGTTTTGTATATCCGAAAAATAGACCAAGTAAAGTCATATAAACAAAGGCAACTTCAGAATGTTTACACACAAACACCCACACCCTAACACCTTTTGATAACTCGGAATAGCCCTGAGTAAAACTGCAATTTGTTCATCACGGAATGTCCAGTACATCTAATATCTACGTCCGGGATTGTCCACGGCGGTTCTAAAACTGACTCCCTCACACAACAAATGGTATTCACTCAAACTTCAATTAACACATCAATTTACGCAATTATCATATACGTACTAGTCAGGCACTCTTAGAGCCAGAGGATAATTGACACTAATTCCTTAAATATTAAATAGCATTTCTTTTTTACCGTCTAAGCATTAATTGTTGCATAAATAATTTAATTTGCATATGTCAAAAATAAGCATTAAAAATAATTATTTACAAAAAAAATTAAATTCTGTTACATTGTAAATAATTTTTTTGTAAAATATACTTTGTGACACAGTGATGAACTACTTTTTATCTATTAACTAAATATGTAATAATGTTTTAGAAAAAGATAACTATATATATTTTCTGGATTACTTAAAAAAATCAACAGCTTAAAAACTTACGACTTTTCTACTTTATACAACAACCATTCCCAACGATAAATTAAAACCCAGGTTTTTTCGATATCATTGACAGCTGCTTTTTCAATGAAAATGGAACTCGTAAATTTACTTACCTTGTCATTGGTCATTTGCAAAATTATTTTGTTAAAAATCATTCTGATTGTACACACAAGTACTCTGAAGTCGACATCAAAAAGATGCTTGAGTTTCTGATTGACAATATCTATGTTGTTTTTGGAGACCAGGTCTTCCAACAATCTATTGGAATTCCCATGGGTACCAATTGCGCCCCATTATTAGCAGACCTATTTTTGTATTCATATGAAGCATGAAAAGAAGAAAACCCTCGCTGTGGCCTTCAACTCGACATTTAGATATATCGACGACGCACTGTAAGTTAACAATTGTAATTTCCGTTCTTATGTCGATACGATATACTTAATATATCTTGGTGAACTTGAGATAAAAGATACCACAGAGTCTGACACATATGTTTTATATTTAGATATTTTACTTGAAAAAGACGTTAACGGTAATCAAACAACCAAGGTCTATGATAAACGTGATGACTAACTTTTCTATCGTCAACTTCCCTTTCTAATGCAACAATACCTTCATCACCTGCATACGGAGTTTATATATCTCACTTGATTAGATACACAAGAGCATGCTTTACGTATAAACAATTTCTACAACGAGGTAAATTGTTGATAAACAAGTTGATGAAACAATAATTTTAGCAGGCTTGTTTAAAGTCATCATTCCGTAAGTTCTATGGTCGCTACAATGACCTTGACATTGAGTCAAATGCTGACTGGCGTTTTTCATACTAATTTTTGTCCATTATTTATAGACTGAATTGACGACGGATTTTCCCGTTATTTCCCGATCATGACAAGGAGCAAACGGCGGGTGTGACCGGTCAGCAGGGGATGCTCACTCCTCCATGGCACCTGATCCCACCTCTGATGTCTTGGAGGTCCGTGTTTGCTCTGCTCCTATTTTGTATTATTTTATGGACTTTTGATCTGAAATACTTTTCGTTATCCAGGGGCGTCGACAAGTATTTCACATTGGGGAGGCGAACTACATTGAAAAGGGGGGGTCCTGGCTAATTTTTTGTGTCATAAACATAATTAAAATTTCTGCAAAAATATTGATATTTTACTCCTTCCTGTCAATAGCCTAGAGGTATAGTACAATTAAACATGCAACAACAACCAAAAAAAATTTTCACAATTGTTTTTAAGTTACATGTTCAAATCTATATATAAAAAAAATGGGACATTTTAAAAAGTTGTGGGATAGTTTTTATTTATTTTCGGAACACATAGAAAGATCTTTGGAGGGTTTATAATGAGATAAATATTAAAATACATATATATTTTTATTATTGCATAATTTGTGACTTGCCGAAAAAATGCATATTATGAATTTTCAAATGAACAGATTGAAAAATCAATCATAATCCCTCCATTATTAGATATAAGGTAATATCTCCATATGTTTCATACTGAAATAAATAATGAAATTGGATAAAAATTGACCATTTGCCAGCGATTAAACTTTATGTGATTTTCAATAAAATTGATGAGAAAAAAAACCCTTGACTTTAGTCACACATCTGTAGTTTACTGTCTTTTGCACTCCGGAATAATATGAATAACACATCTACCGATCTCCAAACTATTAATAATAAGAATATTCAATATTTTTTAAAACTATAACCTCTGAAAAATACATCTCGACTAGTCACTAAACAGTGCATATTACTGTAATGGGCAGATAACTCATGAGTTACTACTCATGGTTCATATAATATATTTTATGAAGATCTCACCATCTGGACTCACTGACGATTTGGGGAAAAAAACTTTGTGTTTGTAGCTTCATATTTTTCTAAAACTAACAGAGAAAGATCTTACCTTACTCAACAATTGGATATGTTCTAGACAGAAGCATGATAAGCTTGAATTATCTGTTATGAAAGCGATGGTCTCTTTGTTGGGTCTTTCTCATGGGATTCTTTTTTATATGTTCAGTATTACTATAGATATAATAGAAAAACTGTATCTCGGTAAATTAAATTTTGATAAATATAATGTAATAAATAAATGGTTCAATGCAAAAACTGGATGTCATTTCACTTTAAATAACAGATCTGTATAATTGTGCTAATCTGATCCTATTTTCTTTAAATAGCCTAACCATAGAGTGAATTGTGGGATATGTCCTGGTAACCAAAATATCCTACCACAACTTCCGCTCGGTATTTTGTGCTATTTTTCTCGTTCACAGAAATTTATCTGCTTAATTCTTGATAAAGTTATATTCCAAAAGGTTAATATGCAACGTGTGTTAGTTTTTAAGCACTAAGAAATCTCCACAGAAGCTGACAGTGGTGTTATATCACGCGGATGCGTAGTTTACATTGTATGCGTTAAGTGGTCAATAAGCTTGAAGGAATTTTCAAAGGAAATGGATAATAAACAGACTTCAAAGAAATCTAAAAAGAGTGTAACAACAACCGATAAAAATAATAACAAAAATGGCAGTAAGAAGAAAAAGAAAAACAGGAAATCTGCAAATAAATCGGACAATAAAGACAGCGACCAGAGCCCAGATACTTTGGAAGTCGAGGGACTAGGTGCATTGGATAACACGCAAGGTAACTTTCAGGTCTTAAACCATGCATTTAACACGTGTTCAGGGAATCATTAATTTGAGCACATTATTTGTATTTTTGCAATTTTGCATCTCATGGAATTAGGAAATTCAGTCAGCCATTCAATGAACATTTTCAACTAAAAGTTTAAGAAAAATTCCTTGGGGTCTCTATCTTACAGCTGTCTATAGGGGCATCATATCTGCTCTGTTCTTTATTACACATATAACTCTACACATATATTTTTTATTTGTGCAATAGAGAACAGCTAGAGCAGATAAGATGCCCGTATGACCTCCCCTAATACTATGTGTCTGACAGATGCTGTCTGTTTTTGAATTTCATTTGATGCTGAAAATATTTGACAGTTTTTGCTGTGTCACCAACAAAAAAAAATATGAAAGATAATTATGTTCTGTTTAGACTGAAAAAAAAAATTAAGTGTTTAAAATTGTTCAATAACTCTATTTTCCTGTGCAAATTGACATTTTAGTTCCATAAAAATAACAAGAACTTGTTCATAAGTCTCCTCAGCTTCTTTTTTGGAAAGTTTTGCTGTGGACTTCAAATTAGCAAATGCATATTAACATGATTAATGACATCTTCTATCATATCTCAAAATAAAGAACATGTTTATTACCATGTAACCAAAATATAGCAGTTTGTGATTACTGTTTAGTAATCTATCTCACTGGATATCTTATGAGATTTGAAGCAGAATATTAGATTATGAGAGATAAAATATTAATTTCAGATGTACGTATGCCATCCTTAATTTTCTTAAATAAAATTATGCTTGCCATTAAATTTGGTTGTTAATTCATATATGTGTCAGCGAAATTATTGGGGATGGAATAGTTAATATTTACATATGCAAAATGTAAATGTTTTAATTCCCTGAAATAATACTTCTACTTAAACAAGGTACCGGTACATTTAAGCCTGTGTATATACAGATACAGACACGTGCCATAAGTATTCGGTCAACATGGCGTTTTGTTTACGCTTGAAAACAAAAGTGTCAAATTTCAAACATTCGCTGTAATGGAATAAAGTAATAGAAAATAAAAATTATGTTAAACTTACTTGTTAATACTTCGTAAGATGTCCCTTGAGCCTGATTACATTCAAAATTCTGTTTGATATGGACTTATAGAGGTTCTGAACATAGTTAGGTCGGATGCTTGTCCAAATGCCCCGAATTTCCTCCACGAGATCGTCTTTAGATTTAATGAAGGGAATGCGTGTCTGAAGTTTTCTTTTTATCAATAGCCAAAGGTTTTCAGTAATGTTAATATCAGGCGACTGGGCAGGCCAACTTATGCAATTTATTCCATTCCGGGCAATGTATTGTTGAGTAGACCTTGCTCGGTGAACGGGGGCATTGTCGTCCTGGAAAAAATATCCACCCGTAGGAAAATGTCGAGCAATCACTGGCCACAAGTTCTCTTCCAGGATGTCCTGATATTTTTCTGCATTTATGTTTCCATTCACCGGTGTAATTGTGTGTACATCACACAATAATAAAGTCATTGTTAGAGTATAGTGGGAAATGATTGAGGTAATTTCAGAGTGAAGTCATACATACTAGATATAAATTTCAATATTTTCAATTTATACTGTATCATTTCATGGATTTAAAACTATATCATCCAAATATTTGTTATAAATCAGTCACAAATGTAAATATAAGCAATGGTACATTATTCTTTAAAACATTTATCGTGATGTAAATGTCTACATGTACTGCAAAGCTTTAGGCTTTATAGAATTTTATCACATGACAAATGCCTATTTCCACCCAAAAAAAGGTTACATAGTAGCTTAGATAGAGGTGCATCAATGTGCTCTCTAGTTAATATTTAAAACATTTTTAAATGATTCACAATCAAAATTAAAAAAAAAAATTACAACATAAAAATTAAAATTGGTACATAACCATTTTTTTTTTATAAAATATGTTTATGTTAAAAATTTTATCAAAAAAAAGTACTCCCGTGGAAGACAAATGCATGTACTTATGTAAGCAAACCTTCTGTAAATAACTAAATATTAAGTTTGCACTTTCTTTTGATTTATGTTTTTTTTTATTATTTTCCAGTTAAAATGTGAAAGATGTTGTGTAATTGAAAACAATTCAACCTTCTCAATCAATTTTTTTTTTATTTTTCAACATGAATTGACCTAAGAAAAGCTTTATCATGAAGCAATCAAAATTTATTTATATAGAAAGCATTAAGATTTCCATATTGAGAAAACAGATTTGCATTAGTTTGAGAAATTGTTACAGCTGTATCATAACTTCAGCATAAGCAAAATAAAAATTCAAATTTATTAAAAAAAAAAACCAAAACATTTCACTCAATCCATTTACTTCAAATTAAGAAAGAAAATTTGGGATAAATATTATTTCAGTGATCCTTGCAAATTTATTTCAGTGGCATACATTATTTTTTAGTCTGATATTTTGTGTTATTTGAGTAGAGTTACAAAGCTGATTCCAATGTAATTTGAGTGCTTTAGCTGTTTTCTCAATAAGTGGTAAGGAACACACATGAATATCTTCTTTTGAGGTTTTCTATTCTGTGAAGGTAAAAATTAAAAGACTTATTAAGCAGAAAATCTTATTAAATGTTATAGAATAGGATATTTTCTTGCAGAATTGAATTGTATTGAATATATTTTCCAGATCAGAGACCACAATTGAATTCTCACAATGTGTTAAAATACTTGTAGTGAAATAAATGTCCCATATTTAAATTACCAATAAATGACAATTTAGTCTTTCCAGAGAATTTTCCGTCAAGCTGATTTCCTTGCCCATTAGTATTTTTTGAATATCAAAATTGAATATCTATATAAAGAGCTTTGCAAGATATATAAGATAAATATATCACAAAATTAAATTTTAATTGTGTGATATATACCCGTAAATGAATATGAAATTTGATAAATATGAATCTAAAATGTTGTGTTCCAACTTCCAAAATTTGAATGTATTATCTATTTCACACTGGATTTGCCTAGTGTGAAATAGATAATATTCAAATTTTGTCATTAGGTCATAAAATTTTAATTTGCCTACTATAATTAGTCAAGAAAATATGACAAATTTTAATTATGCATTAATATACACAACAGAGCCTATTAATCTACACACACACACACACACACACATTCTCTCTCTCTCTCTCTCTCTCTCTCTCTCTCTCTCTCTCTCTCTCTCACATGCACACAATTTGTCCTGTATAATAATTATTTTTTTTTTTGGGGGGGGGGGGTGTCATTATATTACTTAGAGCATATATAAAAGTGTTTCAGGGCCTAAAAGCTTTGATTTTCCTGTTGAATGCAATTAATCTGTGATCTGTCCAAAAGCTGGCATTGTTTTTGTATTCACTGAGTCTGCTCCAGTGCTGATTATAGAGAGACAGAGTTGTGGGTAGTGTAAAGTATAAAGTTGAAAATCTAGTCCTCAAGTGATTTGGTTCACTTTTTTTCAGGACTCTCATACCACTTTTTGGGAATGGGGTCATGGCAGTAAAAACTGGGGGAAAAGCAACCTTTTGGGGGACTTGGGGGAAAATTATTAATGAACAATACACAGTAAATCCATTATATATTGGGTTCTGGTGTTCATTATTAACAAAATTTCTGTTTTTCAATAAAGGGTAATGGAATTTTATAATTAATTAATAACATGGTCAGCTACATTTTTGAATTGGAAATTGGGCCTTTGGATATCCCCCGTTATAAAGGATCCTGCTTTCAGTGATCCAAAGCTCATCACTGATGGTTCAACAATCTGGAAAATATGTTATTTAAAATAACAATAGTAAAAGTCAGTCATCAGAATCTAACTTCTGTCAGTTGTAAGTCAATATAATAAGCCTGTAAACAGTAGAGTATTGAGGTGACTGCTTGAGTAGATGACTGATATAGAGACTTATCAAGAGACTCCTCACCGCAGGTGACTCCAACAGTGTCATGACGATGCAGAATCATTGTAAAGCAGATCCCTATTTATGAATGGATTGTGAGCTGTGACATTTAAATTTTTTAGTTTTATATATTCATTCATTTGTACTTTAAGTTATTAAACTAAAGTTTTAAAAATGTGTTTAGACTAAATTCCTTTCTTGATCTACATGTGTGAAATGTATGGAGATAACAACAGTATTCAATCTTAAAGTTGATTTAAGCAATATCAGGAGCATGTAGCCAAAACCGACCTTTAAAACATCTGAGGTTGGATCAGGTGACATGGTGTAGTGAGTATCTCATGCTGACTGATCTCAACCCCTGTGTGTTTCTTGTCATAATCGGAAAATAACAGAAAAACCCGTTCTGAGGGCGATGCAGTATATTTCCTGAAAAGGTCATTGTATCGACCTCAGAACTTATGAAATGATGGCTTCAGACGAGACTGTTAATTTTATTGTTTCATCAACTTGTTTTTCAATCAATTAACTTGTTTTAGAAACTGTTCATATGTAGAGCATGCTCTTGTGTATCGAATCAACTGAGAGATATAAACCCCATGTATGCAGGTTATAAGGGTATATTGCTGGTTAGGTAAGAGAAGTTGAAAATTGACAAGATATATTTATCATCACGTTTATCATTAAGATTTGTTGTTAGATTACCATTTACCATTACGTCTTTCTGTGGTAAAATATCTAAAAATGAAGCATATATGTATCAGACTGGTATTCTTTATTTCAAGTTCACCGGGATATATTGTGTCGATATATGAAAGGAAATAGCTAGTGTTAATTGATTATATATAGTTTGATATATCTAAACGTCGAGTTGAAGGCCACAGCAAGTGTTTCTTCTAAAGTACAAGTTTTTGAATAAATTATGCTGCATATAAGTAACAAAGTATGTCTGCTTATAATTTGGCACAATTGGTACTAACAGGAATTCCAGTAGATTGTTGGAAGACCAGGTCTCGAACACAACATAGGAACTGTCAAATAAAAACTAAAGCATGTGCACCTTTTAAATATCAACTTCAGAGTGCTTGTGTGTACAATCAGAATGTTTTTTTTATCAGAATAATTTTGCAAATGATCATTGACAAGAAAAGTTAATTTATGAGTTCCATTTTCATTGAAAAGCAGCTGTCTATGAAGTCAAAAAGATTAGAATTAAACTTATCGTTGGGAGAAGTTGTATAACGTGTTTAAAAGTCATTCGTGTTGATGTTACTGATTTTGGTAAAAAAAAAAAACCGTGATTTTCTAAACGTTCCTGGATTTTTTTTTTAAGAATCCACATCTGATTTACATGACTTCTCAAAATGTTTTTTCACAGTACTACTGAAGTTTGTCCAGTGCTTTTAATATTTGAGTAAGGAGTAAAGAAAAATGCTTTGTAGAACATTTACTGGAGCCCGCTACGTATCTTTTTTTCTGTAATCCAATACACAATTTCATGTATATTATTTCTTCTTTAGAAAGGAAGCTATGAATATCTTCTTTTTTCACTTCTGAATTATTGAACACAGAAGGATGTTTTTTTTTTTAATTTGGCCCTTAATCGCTTATTGCGAGATTTTAACAAACATCTGATACATTTCATCCATTCTGACAAAGTGTCAAGGCCTTCTTTTTCATGTCTGACCCTTCGCCTGGCGTAATCTTCTACAGAATCCATAATATTTATAAAATTAAAATTAAAATTGCAGATCGGGGCTTCCTAAATTTTGTCCCTTTTAAAATGTGATTTAAACCCTCATTATTAACCATATTTTACTCACAAGTAATAAAGTGTTCACGAGGACTGTAGTTGTAGGGTGAAGAAGAACATGAAAATGATAGAGGATTCTATTTAAGATGATTTGAAAGCATCTTTTTTTTAATTGAAGCTTTATGTGAGATTCTAAACCATATAGGCCCACAGCTAGTAAATTCATGAAAACATAATATTTAAAAACCTATAAATTTCCATAATCTAAGCATACATGTTAAGAAAGATATATTAATCTGAGAGGAAATTTGGTGTGACAGCACCTTAAACTTTGACCAACATTTCAATCACCATCAGCACTCAAAAGGAACTTTTTGTCCAGGAGTCTAGAATTAAAGTAGGTTTTTTAAAAGATCGGATTAAATGAGGTTTGTGTAAATCTGTTTTTACAGACTAAACATATTAGAACAGATTTGCAGTTTGGCTGGATTAGACTTTAAGCATGATTTAATCTTCCCGACACATCTTTTAAATGGGTGGTTAAAAATTTACATAGTGTTTAGAGAGGGTAAATTTCTTATCAAAACCCCTGCCGCTTTCAGGGCACTTGGGTGAAAGAAGAGTTGATTGAATTAAACCACACGTAATCCCCACCACGTCATTCCATATCCAGTAAAAATTGAACTCAAAACAGGAGTCAGTGCTTAAGCAAATATATAAGGTTTTTATTTCGTTGGCGACAGTGTTCTAATTTTGTCTGCCTATTTTGACACGAATGAGGACTGGTTGAAAGGGCACAAAAAGCACGATTCCAAAAAGAACAAACTTTAGGCCATAGCAACGGATCCCAAACGCTTTCTATTAGTCCATGATATTCACAAATTCCAAGATGTAAAATCAGTAAATTGTGATATTTTATTTCATTTTTGATGCTCCTATACTAATACCAGAGAACGCTTTTTATTGCTTTCTTACCGGTAATATGTACAGTGTAAGCTAAAACTGTTGAATACCATTTAGAGATTTTATTTGTCGACTTCAAGGCTTATTGGCAACGTTAATTACATTAAAACACTTAAGTTCTACACACGAACTTCAGTAATTCAAGCTCATTAACAAGACCAAAGATAACCCCCAAACACTTGAGAGATTCAATGTTTAGGTCTAAATAAGTTAAATTTTGTCAACATATCCTACCTACTCCACCGATTAAAGAATTGTTTGTCTTCAAAACAATAAACAAACGATGGATTTTTCAACCATTAGAGTAAACTTTATTTTAAAAAAGAACACATTTACTTTTCTATATTTATGCAAGATTCGGCTTGAAAAAATTTTAATTCCCCAAATAAATTATCTCCTTTTCTTAATTAGAAAATCGCAACATTTATTTTTCATCCCAGGTTGAGTCGCTTCTCTGCACTTGACAGAGTTATATTGATATTATCTATACTGTCTCAATTAAGGTGTACTTTACACCAATAATGCAAGACCAAACAGATTAATTCAAGATTCCGACTTAATGTTATGCAGATTTAAAACAATTGACTCTTAAGTGACCTTAATGTTCTGATCATTGAGATATCAATGTGTTAACATTAATACCGTAGACAAGATGACAAACTACATTAATAAATCTTTATTTATTTTCCTGGCTTGTAGGTGTCGACTCGGATTCATCACTTGCCTATCAAGAAAGCTCCAAACGAGGCTCAGGTCCTCCGGAAAATGCTACTCAAAACAGACTGGAAAACACCTCAACTGCCGTGGAAGTCGAGGCCAAGAAAACGTCATCATCCAATCTGCAGATCAGTGTTGCTGCCATCTCCATAAAGCCTTCCAGATCACAGGACTCCCTCAGAGAAGCTCCTGTAAAGGAGACGTCGTCAGCCATGATCACAAGGCAAAGAAGTGTCATCACTAAAAACAATAAATACAAAACAAGCATAAACACTACATTGAAAACGGGATATCAATTTGGTGCTAAATCACTTCCAAGAAATTCGTCCTGTGTTAATCTTCCAGCCAGTAAGAATGAGAGTTTACGATGGGACAATCCGGCGGACGGATCCGACGAGGAGGACGAGAGAATTAGGTTGTATAAAATCAATAGAAGGAAAAGATATTTAGCAGCAGCTCAGGCAAAAGGCCTAGGATGGGCAGCAAATTATAAGAATGGAACACCAGTAAACGAAGACTCAGGGATAGAGGCCAAGGACTCCCGAACAGCTGCCAGGAATGATAATCACGTGATGTCAGACTTTAGTCCAATGAAAAGCCTGGCACCAACAGCATCAAATTCTGGCCTCGCTATGGTAGAATGTTGATGATGTTTATTGTTTAATTTATTGATAATTATTGTAATTGTAGTACAAAATGTAAACATTTTATTCATTAACACTGTATATGTACATGTTATTTTGTACTATTTTTTCATTAATAATTTTCTTCTGATGCAGAAAAAAATAAACCTTTAGGCTAGTTGTTAATGCAAACAAAAATTTCTTTTTTAAAATATTCAAACTAGATACTAGTAATTCTACTCAAAACGGTCACAACCATATGTTAAGTGCTATTTGTTCATGAACCAATCATTCATTCTTCGTTTCATTGGGTTACTGATTAACAATTACATGTTCTACTAGTCAGCTGTATTTCAATGTTTGTTTATACTTAATTTTGTAGTTATTCTTTATTTTTACTACACAGCATAATTTCTTTTATCATGACCACCCTGCATTGAATTATTGATGATAAACATATCTTTACTAAAAAAGAAAATATTTATGTATTTTTTGGCCTTGCTGAGTTTTGATCCATGGATGAAATTCTTCGAACTGGACACAAGAAGGAAAGAATCATCCAACAAAATTCTGATATTTTTTTTATTTAGTTTGATTGTAAGGGGGAAATGAATTTTTACAAATATTTTTTTAAGATTTTATTTTCCGAGGTAAAATTTTTGCTTCAGTTAATTGCATGTGAGCATATACATTTTCTATTTACTACTTTCATTCTTTTTTTGTTTGGTCAAAATCATTTATTACCATAAATTTTTATTGGTTTTTTTGTTATATTATAAAATGCTTTAGAACCTTAAGCTTATTTCATTTAATAAATGAATTCAATATCGAAGATTTGTTCACAAATCATTAATTTATTTTGAGGTTTACAGTATCAAAGTAATTAATTCTTTGCAATAATGTAAAAAAAAAAAATCATTATAATCAAGTAGATTTTGTACTAAAATGCGGTCTTTTCTAATGAAAAATTATTTATATAATTTCATCATAATAATTAGTTAAATGTTATTAATGACATGACCTATTAATGATCAGTAATAAATTTTAACGAAATGAATGATTGAATAAGATCATGATGACATCAATGAACTTATGACCTGCAGGTGGTTTGTTCTCTATTTCTGAATTTTATGTAACAAAATTATATATAATCTTATGTAAAATAGGTTTAATTGACCTGTCCTTCAGGTTAAGTTATTTAAGCCCAGCCATTTCCTATTTTTTCCTTTGAAAGTTTTCTTAATCCACAACTGTATAAGAAAAGGTTAAAAATGTCCTTACTGAATTCTTCAACACCAGAATACAGGCTGATTTGTGCTTACGAATATTGGCATTCGGTAATTTACCGAAGACAATAATTTTCAAGAAAACAGTCCATTTCATAAGGTAAAATTTGCCAACAGAGAAACTAACGACGTAAATTAAAAATTATTAAGGATATTGTACAAAAACGCCTGTATTTCACCAAATGGATATGGAGATAACGAACAGTATTCAATATCAAAGTCCATAAAACAATACAAAATAGGAGCAGAGCAAACACTGACCTCCAAAACATCAGAAGTGGGATCAGGTGCATATCGAATCAACTGAGAATGTAAACTCCGTTTGCAGGTGATGAACGTATATCGCTGCATAGGTAAGGGAAGTTGATGATAGAAAATTTAAATTTATCATGTTTATCATAGAGCTTGGTTGTTAGATTACCATTAATATCTTTTTCAAGTAAAATATCCAAGTATGAAACATGTGTCAGACTCTGTGGTATCTTTTATCTCAAGCTCACCAGGATATATCGTATCGACATAGGAATGGAAATTATCATTGTTATAAAATTGACAATACGTCGTCGATATATCTAAATGTCGAACTGAAGGCCACAGCAAGTGTTTTCTTCTTACCAAACTAACAATTTCAAAAATCCACCAAATTGCAAACTGAGTCCACAAATATTCATTGAAAAAAATATGTACAGTGAAACCTGTCTAATCCGACATGCACTGGGAGACAAATTTGTGTCGGAAAAGACAGGATGTCGAATTACACAGTGTTAAAAACAAGGAAAATACTGAAATGGGAAAAAATATAATGTCGGAATTAACAGTGTGTCGGATTATTCAGGTGTCGGATTAGACAGGTTTCACTGTACTTGTATGGAGATAACGAACAGTACTCAAGTCCAAAAGTCCGTTCAAACATTACAAATCAAAAGAAAAACAGAAACGGAACTCTAAACCAAAGGTGGGATCAAGTGCCAGGAGGAGTGTGCATTCCCCACTGAGCGGTCACCGTCTGCTCCTTGTCATAATAAGCGGAAATTCGTCGAAAATTCAGTGTGTAGATAATGTCGTATTAATTATGAAAAATTTCAATCAGCATTAAACGACATGATAGATTGTATTGCCTGACGTGGTCATTGTATCAAAGATTAAGCTTTCGAAATGATGACTTTAAACGAGACTGTTGATATTCTTGTTCCATCAGCTTGTTTGTCAATACCTAACATCATTTAAGAAATTGTCTATATGTTGAGCATATTTTGCCTATCGAAGCAATTGAGTAATAATATTAACTTCATATGCAGCGGATAAGGGTATATTGCTACATAGTTGTAAGGGAAGTCGATTGAAAAGTTAAAGGTTTTAAATTTACCATAAAGCCTTTCATTGTTAGGCTACCGTCAAAATCTTCTTCTACTAAAATATCCTAGTATGAAACAGATGTGTCAGACTTTGTGATATATTTAATTCTAACATCCGTGGGATATACGGTGTTGACATATGAATGGAAATAACTACTGTTTCTTATAATTCGTCGTCGATACTAGTATATCGATGTGTCGAGTTGAGAGCCGCAGTTTATGTTTTCTCATGTACAACCTGTATATTGATTGATTGATTGTATATTGTTTAACGTCCCTCTCGAGAAATTTTCACTCATATGGAGACGTCACCGTATGCCGGTGAAGGGCTTCAAATTTAGACCTATACTCGGCACTCAGGGCCATTGAGCAGTGAGGGTTCTTTAGCGAGCCAGCGACGACCGTGACACGGGAGCTAGCTGTTTATGGTCATATCCGAAAGACCCGTGGCTTTCACTTCTAGTGCCGAGCGCTTGGCGAAGGAACAGTCACTACCTTTGTTTAAGTCTTAGGTATGACGCGGCGCCGCGAACGAGAATCGAACCCGGGCCTCCCGATCACGAAGCGAACGCTCTACCACTAGGCTACCGTGACCGGTACACAAGCTGTATAAGATTTTGAATAAATTCTGCTTCGTATGAAAACAAGAATAAGTCTGCTAATAAAGGGGATAAGTGTTATCCACAAGAATTCCAACAGATTGTTGGAAGACCTCGTCTCCTCATAGAAAATCAAGCATCCTTTTCATATCAACTTTGGAGTACTTGTGTGCAAAATCAGAATGTTTTTAATAAAATAATTTTGTAAATGACCAATTACAAGATAACGTTAATTAACGACTTCCATTTTTATTGAAACAGCAGTTGTCAATGATGTCAAAAAGCCTGGACATATTAATAAAAAAAGTATACAGTGCTAGTATGGAAGGGAATTACCGCCAAAAGTCTATGTATCTTGCTTTTATTCTTATTCTGCCTACTTCTTTATGCTTTGTTATTGTTGTAATTGTATGTCGCTTTATTGTTTTCATATTCGTCTTTATTACATTTCACTTTGACTTTTATCCTTCTTCATTTTGCCCTTACTTCTATGTTGCTTTGTTCTTGTAGATTCATTTTACTTTCTTTTCAATTGATTCAGTTTCTTAAATGATTATCTCTATTACGAACGTGAATTCAATCACACAAAGAATGAAGCATATTCAATGAAGACGAATACAAGTTGTCAAAATTTAGTGCCGCATTATAACGCTAGGTGGCAGGGGTGTTCGCTACGAGTGTTGGTAAAACTAGGTAAGCAAACCCGGGCCGGGGTTATTCGAGATTTTTCAATTTTCTGCCTTAATACTTTATCAATCGAACTTCTGAACTGATCCAATGATGGAAACTCCATATTTATTTTCTCTGGGCACACAGGAATAGCGGCCTCTTATTTCAGACATAACTTTATATAATTTGCTGAATATGTTCATTGAAGGGCCGACCCACTTTTTGTGAGGGTAAGGGTCAAATAAGGTTAATGTAGTATAGTAGGGAAAAATTTATCAAATTTGATACTATAGAAGAAGTTGAATCTAACCCAAAACCCACCCCGCCCCGAAATAGGATTTCAATGGCGTCGGACAAAGTGAAAGTTGGGGCCCGGGGGGGGGGGGGGCAAAGTGTAAGAAATTTTTTTTAGAACTTCAAAAAAAAAAAACTTGACAAGCCAAAAAAAAAAAAAGAAATGTCCACTGTCCAAACACAAAAATCCAATTTCGTGGAGGGGGGGGGGGGGTTGGGGTTGGGGGTTGAACCTCAGTGCCAATTTTTTTTTTTCAAAACACCACCACTTTCCCCATTTTAAACCTACACTGCATCGTGTCCATGGAAAGGGGGGGGGCTATACCTACGCAGCAATGTTCAATGTCTGTTCTAAGTCTATCTTTGGAAAGAAAAGTGGGGGGTACGCCCCCCGCCACCTCCCCGGTTCCGACGCCTATGTATTTTCAAGTTTGGAAATTTCCTTGTTTTTTTTTTTTTTTTTTTTTTTGCTTGTCAAGTTGTTTTCAGCCAGTTAGCTTGAATTTTTAAAAACGATGCTACGTCACTGTTCTCTCGCCTGAAAAAAATATAACTTTATCAAAGTTATTTGTTGGATAATTGAATTCCAGTTTAATTGACATAAAAATGTTAAATATTTTGATACTAGTTACCCCTTATAAATGGATTTGTTTTTCAGGACCTTCCACTGAATTGAACTTTATTTCACGACAAATAGTAACTGCTCATGCGTGTGATTCTAGGGACGGGGCTTTGCAAAGGAGTGAGGAGCGTTATGGGTAGGCGAAGTCGGAACCAGGCTACACCCCAGGCATACTAGAAACTCCCCGGTCTTCTTTTCTGCTATATTATTTTATGTTGAAATAGTACTTTTCAATAAAGAAAAGAAATATCTTTAGTACGCACCGTATTTTACATCAGCCAGGAGAGCTAAAAAAATCTTAAAACTTGAAAATTCTATTTGGTGGTGGTGAAGGGGAGGGGGGGGGATTTCGTAAACTTTTTTCAGTACCATATATTACTCACTAAGTACATGACTTTTAAAATATAAATTGACTATTAGTGCTGCAACAAAAAGTGTAAGGGATGGGGGCAACAAGCCTTTCGCTGAACTTTGCCAGTAGTAAAAAGTCTGTTACGTTTAGGAAAATGTTTCGTGGCCACCCTCCCCTCTACCGGTGCTGGCGCGGATCCAGAAATTTTTTTCTAGTGGGGGGGGTCCACCCCTGTCAAAAAAAATTCCAATCCCAGAAATTTCTTGACAAGCAAAAAAAAAAAAAAAACAAACAAACAAAACAAAAAAAACCTAAACTCGCCCAAACGTGAAAATCCTATTTCGTTGGGGGGGGGGGGGGGGGGGAGGGGGGGTTGTAGTCTATGACTTCTATTGCCTCAAATCCTTCACTTTTTATACCCATTTCACACATATTCATGTTTACCGGGTGGGGGATTCCAAGGTAATTTTTTTCTTGCTTTAGTATATACATTTCTTAACCTTGTAAATTCCGGGGGGGAGGGCTGACCCACGACCCCCCTCTAGATCCGCGCATGTGGTGAAACTTACCCCATAGGAGGTCGTTCAGACGGAAGTCAGTATATATATTGAGACTTGGGGGTGTGATTGTACATTGTATAACGTCCCTTTAAATT